AAGGGAGACAAGACCGCTCCACATGCAAGGAGAGGTTGTATTCTTCGTTTCCTTGGTTCCAACCAGTATCAGGTGTATCTTACACACCTGAGAAAGGTTATAGTTACTGCCCATCTTGAGATTTTGGATGGGTACGTACTTTCAGGGGATTTGACCCATATCTTTCCAAACTTCCGTGGTACACTCAATGACTATGAGACAACCAGACCCGATACTGAAGATCTGTCGACGCCATCTTTTTCAGAGGGCGCTCACAATCCTCAGCATATATATATCGAGTCAGATAACAGAAGAGATGGTAGAGAGGATTCACCCCAACCAGTTGTCAGGTTAGGGACCCCTCTTGGGACCCCTGATATTTCTGATAATGATGCTAGTCATCATTCTGACTCTGGATATAGCGACCCTGAGCCGAGTACTGCTCCAGCTGACTTGATTCCTCTATCATCTGAACCACCTCGTCAAGAAGTAGCCTCAACGGCTGCTCTGAGGTCAAGAATCCAATCAGGGCTCAACCCAGAAAGTGTACTCTCTGGAGGGCGCACTCGGAGGACTTACAACCATTACGTGGCCGAGTCTTCCACCCCTGGCATATCTCCATATGTTACGATCGAGGCATCTTATGCTAATTGGCCTTCTTCTGACCCTGGTCAGGCACTTCCCTGTGATGACGAGCCTTCTAGCTATAAGGAAGCCATGGAATCTGCTGAGGCTCCCCAATGGCTGGATGGCACATACACAGAAATTCGTGCATTATTGTAGAATAACACTTTCATCCCTATGTGGAGGACTGACCTACCTACTGGGCGTAAAACTCTCTCTAGCCGCAAGTTTATAAGCGGAAGAAAGACTCTGACAGCAACACCTCTCGGTACAAGGCTAGGGTGGTTGTACGAGGCTTTATGCAACACCATGGCCTCGACTATTTTGAAACCCAGGCCTCAGGCGCTCGTACTACCACCTGGAGGCTCCTTCTAGCCATTGCTGCCGTTTTGGACTGGGAGATTGATCAGATGGATGCTGTATCTGCCTTCCTGATGGGAGAACTGGATAAAGAGATCTTTATGGAGACGTCTGATGGTCTCTTTGACTTCTTTGAGATATATCCAGATAAGAATATCATCAACTAGAGACCTGGCATGATTATAAAGCTTGTAAAACCGCTATATGGGCTCAAACAGAGCCCCAGGCAGTGGCAGAAGCGTATTCGCAACGCTCTGAAAGACCTCAGATTTGACCCTCTGGTCTCTGACAACGCAGTCTATGTCAACATCAGCCGTGGCATTATAGTGATCAGCTATGTCGATAATTTCCTTATTTTAAGGGCTAATCGTGACGAGATCGCTGCTTTCAAGAAAGAACTAGGTTCTATATTTGAGATGAAGGACATGGGAGCTGCTGAACACTTCCTAGGAGTCCATATTGTCAGAAACTGAGCTGAGAGGACATTATATCTCTCTCAACAGACGTATGTGAGAAGGACCGCAGAGGCATTCAACCATCAGAACACTGGCAAGATGAACGTGCCGATATCTCCTCAAGCAGTGGAACAGATGGAGTCCCTGAATAACGACCTTGAAATCGATGCATGTCCTATTCAGACATACCAGTCCCTGATCGGTTCTGAGAATTTCCCTGCGTCATATACAAGACCAGATATTGCATACTCTATGGGTGTTCTCTCGCGATACCTCCACAATCCTGGCTCAGCCCAATATAAGGCTGCTCTGGGCCTATTTCGTTATTTATGGCACTCTCAAGATCTTGGGATCAAATTTGGAGGTCCCGAATATGTCGGGAAGACCCCCCAAGAGGTTCTTGAGATGATTCCGGATCTGCTGATTGGTTACTGTGATGCCAGCTATGCTAAAAGCATCAAAACCAGCGCCAAGTCCACCTCAGGCTATCTGTTCACGTTTGCTGGGGGCGCTGTCTCCTGGGCATCCAAGCTGCAGACTGTTGTGGCTCAATCTACTGTGGAATCAGAGTACTACACACTCTCTAAAGCCGTAAAAGAGGCTGCCTGGCTGCGAGAACTGATGCTGGAACTTGGATTCATTCTAAATGTTATCAACATCCATTCAGACAGTGCTGGAGCTATTCACTTGACTCAGAACGCTGAATTCCATCGTCGAACTAAGCATATTCAAGTCAGGGAACACTACATTCGTCAGGAGATCTCAGAAGGTCATATATGGCTCTCTTTTCTTGGAACTAATGAAATGCCTGTAGACGGTCTTACCAAAGCTTTGACAAAGGTAAGGTTCTTTAAGTTTCTGGAGTTGCTAGGACTGGTTCATATAGAGGGGTGATATTCTGGTTATGTTAATTCCCTCAGTCTGAGAGGGCGTGTTGGATTCTGGGCTACGTTAGCCCATCCATAGTCATCCTTCAGGATCACCATCCCCATCTGTGACTCTGTCACATACGTGGCCACATAAGGCCACGTATCCTTTCCTTTAGTATCTTGGATATATAGGGCCACTCTGGCCGCTCCAGAGTAGCTGGAATTCCTCTCCTTAATAGAACACTTTGAAATCTCACAGTTTGCGGGGCCGGCTGTTGTTGCAGTATCAACGGAGTTGTTCTGAAGTGAGATCGGCTAGTTCTGTGACGGGGGAAATTCCCTGCTTGGTACAGAACGCCAGCAGTCTCGCCTTTCCGCCCTTTACCACCGTATCGTAGTTTTCATCGTCGTTGATGACAAGAAGTTTGTTGGTGGCTCTCTCGTGCCCTGTCTCGAAAACTCAAAATGGCAGACATGGCGTTCGTCGCGGGGATTCCTCAGCCGGGAACACAGCCGCGGAATGTGGCTCATATCTTCCCTTGACCCTCTTCATGGCAGAAAGTCGAGGCTTTCCCGCCTTCGAAGTTCTCAATTCCCTGTTCATTTGCGCTCTGAGGGTGGGTGATCTGTCCAAGAACTGTCCCCGGATAATATCGGGGAAAGGGGTGGTACCAGCTAAGATTGTCGAAGTCGTCCGAGTATTGGGTTCTCATCTTCCTGGTGTAGCGTCTGGGCCACCGTCGGTTGCTAAGCGTGACTCATGGCCCTCACTCCTCTGATTGCGTCTGGGTGAGGTTCGAGGGACGCCCCTCGATGTGACCAGCCAACTGAAGATTCTGGCCTTGTACTTGGCCCCAGACATGTAGAATCTGGGCCAGCGGATCCACTCTAAAATCATTCCGGTTGTACTGATCTGCCTCGTAGTCGAAGTACACAACGATGCCGCAAGCCCAAATTGTCGCTTTGTCTGGCGTGTGACCGCATTGTGCTCCATATATTGAACTGCGATAGAAGTATAAAACTCCTAGGACACGTACCTTTTGATGCGCACGCGCAGGTCAATACTGCGCCAAAATGCAGTGGCAGAAATGTTCAGGATGAATGTTGTGATGCTGGGAGATTAAACGAAGCCGGATCTGAACCAGAGCACGTGGGAAAAATCCGCCAGTGACGCAGTGCTGGCAGTCCCATCCACCCCGACGTTGGAGGCGCAGCAAAGCAAGGAGGCAGTCTTTTATAGTTTTAGTCAAATGCGGAAGAGACACTGACGTCGTGAGGGGTGTTGAGCAGTAGTCTCTCTTGGTGGTCTACGCTACATACATTTTGTAACGGTTTCGGTACCGCAGCATGGGCGGCCTCGTCAGCGATACGATGCGTCTATGTGAATGTTCTCGATTCATCATGACTTGCGCCTGGCCTCCGTAACCCTTTATGTAGTAAGGTTCGGCCGTATCGAGTATCAGCAGGAGATACAGGACCGTATCGCGGCAGCGTGGCTCGTACGGCAATGCCTTCATCGCCTGTTGAGCAGAGCCAGGAGCTAGTCCATTGACATTCTGGAAAACTGCTGGATTGGCGGTGTTTACATGAATAAACGAATATGGAGCCACAAAATTAACGCCGGACGACGAAAGATCGTAGTCGCTCACACGATTCGGGTAGTTCTGTTGAAAGGTATTGACAAGGGGCTGTGTTCCATGACTGAGTTCCGGAGAGCAGAGCTGATATCGTCTGTGAACTGTAAGCAATGAGTTGACGGGTAGGCTCGTTGGTACGTAAGGTGCTTGTCTATGTTGTTGTTTGCTATGTAACCAGTACGTCTTGGTACTTACGCTGATACACAGCCCGTCGAGTGCCTCACGGTTGGCAGCAGACGAGGTGGACAGGCGCAGCCAGAGACTGTCACTGGTGGGATGAAGGATGCGCTCAATACGACCCCAAATGACATGACCTGAAGAAGCCATTGCGATGACGATGATGAGGTGATTGAGTGAGGGTTACAGTAGGCTATACGTAAAGACCTTGGAGGAGTTTTAAGCCACCATGAATGTCGTCCATTTCATCCTGCTTCCCTTCAGTTTGTTTGTTTTGTTTGTTTGTTTTGTATTTAACGTGGGGGGTAGCTCCTCAGTAGTGCAAACCACGCCTCCCAGAGCCATTGCATCGCAAGGTTGTAGAGGTGTCAAATTAGATACATTCAGATCCGCGCACGAGCCTATCCTCGCTGTAGCGGTACCAATCTGGAGTGTTCAGATGGTTTTAGTCAATACCCAAGCACAATTCCGTCAGAAAAACCTCCTATCTAGTGACAAAGCGACCCAGTGAACCTCAGTTCTCTGGTGTACATAACGTTCCAGTAGCCGTTCGATATATGTCGCATTGGTGGGTGGAATAGGTGTTTGTTATCTGCTGGCGAGGGAAACCACAAGGGGGAAAACCTCGCAGGAGTGGGTATTGTGGAGACAAGCTGCTTGGCTATCGGGCTCTGCGATAAAATGGGGCCTCTCCACTGTCGTGTGCTGGTTATCGACTCGCACAAGCCGGGTCAGAAAGGGGGCCATAGCAGGATTCGAACCCACTTGTTCTCGTCGCCCACCGCACAACGAGAACACAACCAGGCGCATTTGACCATTGCGCCATACGGCCCTGCTTCCCTTCAGCCCGGTCCTTCGTTGCCTATGCTCTGTCACGCCGACATCCTGACAGATTCTTGTCAACGGGGTGGGGTCTTCTGACGGTCAAACGGCGATGGGGAGAATGCTTCCTGATATTCCCGCAATGACGAGTTTTTGTTCAGCTTGTTAGGTGTTGGGTAGAAACGGGTTCCCTCAATCAGGCGCTTTTTGACGAATTCTTCCGTATCTCGTAAGGCTTTTAGATAGTCGACTACGTTGAAGGTTGTTATGGAACCTGGAGTGTACTTTTCGAGACGTTTGCGGTATTGTGGCGCCGTTTCGGCGAAGGAGATGTGTACTAGTCGGTCGACGCAGGTTTTCCATGGACACACATGCGCTGGCTCGAGGGACCTTTGCATCAGGCGGAACTTGATGATGTGAATGCTGTCGGTGCTATCTATTTGCCTGCTCGTGGTACTCGATTTCACGCAAGAGCGCCACCAAAGAAAGGAGTAGGGGAAGAGGAATCTCCAGCTTCATCGTCGTCCTCTTCTCACTCTGAGAGCGCCGCGACGTCGTTCTCCTGCTTCTTGTCCTTGCCGTCCTTATCAACCCTAAGGAGCAGACGGATAGTGACGCGCAGCTTCTTCACTTCTTTGTCCTGTATTAACGATCAGCAAAATGATCAGACGATAAGCTCAAGATTACTTACGGGCTTTCCAGAGCGAAGAGCGTCGAACAACAAACGAGCCATGCTCTGAACCGACTCAGGACTGGAAACATCATTAGTAAGAGCGTTAAGGGATCAGGGGATCGACGTACATCGGAGCGCAAGAGTGCCCGGAGGCGCAAGATGACCCTCGATAACAAGGACGTATGTACTGGTGTGCGTGTAGTTGGGAGGTGGTGTAGGTGGTTTGCTTTCAGGCGCCGGTGTTCTTCGGGGGGCATATACATGTAATAAAGGAAGGACTGTGGCAAGGCTGCCGTGTCATTTCCGTCGTTATATAGAAATACGTGCCGATACTCGTCGTCCTGACCGTTTTTATCGCGAATATATTTGGATAGAGAACAAGGGTCGATAACTATGTCCTTGAATCCAAGCAGGGATGCGACAGTTTGCAGAGTTGCGCGGCCGTGATCACCGGTTTGCCGGTCTTCCCAATGCAAGACCAAGTCCCGGAAAGGTCGCCAAGCTTGAAGGTCCAGGGCAATCTCTGCTTGTGTGGAATTGGGAGTGTCGGTCTGCTGCGGCTGTTACTGATTTTGGTGGAAGAGGGGAAGCGACGACCGTAATTAGTCTTCTAGCTCTATAATCTTCCTGGCGGCGGTGCCGGTCTGTGACTTGTCTATGCTGGCGGCGTGTTGAATAGAGATGCGCTCGTATTGGTCCCAAAGGGCCTTCAGGTTTTCCAGGGCGATCAGGTGGCCGCGGGACAGGAGAAACTTGAAGGCCATCCGCGTCAAGAGCCTCGCAACTCTTATCGTCTATTGCATGGCAGTTCTTCCAATGTATTGGCAACCACAGGGTTTATCAACTCGTCAAACTTGCTGATGCGCTCATTGATAGCTTCTGTTACTTCTTCATACGGAAGCTATCGAGAGTTTCTAAAATGATATGTCACTGTGTTAAAATGTCGGCATTAATTGTCGCGCTGATGATGACAACTTTGAGGTCTTTGCAGTCTGCAGTGATTATCTTCAGCATCGCCATGGGAACATCGGTGTTAAGAGTTCTCTCATGCACCTCGTAGATGATGTTGTCGGCGGGTTTGGGGTTGAACTTGAGACCTCGAGGCGACGAGACTTGCGCTCATCGATCATGTTCTCAGTGCAACGGCCGGCGGCCTTTAGCGCCACGGCAACAACTGGCCATCGCGGCCCACACGGGCAACGCCCTACTTCTTCTCGCGATACATGACTCTTCTGTCACCTTCGCCAACGTGTCAGCTTTCGGTCTAGATCCATTATGAAAGGACCATCAGCGGGATGTCGAAGAAGACGGCGTAGTTGGCGGCCCGGTCAGCCAAAAAGGTGTTGCGGTGCATGAAGAAGACGTCAATGCCACATTTTCTAAGGGCAAATCTATCGTGACTCGTGGTTTGGTTGCCTTGACGTGAGATCCTACGGCAAGGACCGAGATGTCAACGGTCGTGAGGATTTCAGGATACCGGAAAGATGTGGAGATTGTGGTTATGGGGCCGATCGGAAATGGGGGGAACGCCGTGCCGCGGCGGCCTCATTTGGGCCGGCTTCGTTCGGATGTGTAAATGCGCTACTGGTGAAAAGTAGGCGCAAGTTGTCGCATCATCGCTGGTCTGTATGTCTGTTTACATTTAGCGCCCCTGTTTGTCTAGTGGTTGGAGTTGTGTGTGGTGCGTGGAGAAGATCTTCGCGAGATTCCCGTGCGAGGATCCGTCCTCATATAGGGCTCTCGTGACTCATCGGATGAAGGTATGTGTGAACGAAGGTTTCGCTAGTAGCGTTAAGGTTGAGGGAGAAGACGAACAGAGTTCAGCCATGAGCCACCAAAAAGAAACATTGGGTTATTTGCTCCAGGGTGTGGCAGAGCCTGAATTGATTCCACAACATCGATATCATCTCAATCTGCTGGGTTGGGAACACGAAGTCTAGTGGTTGGAGTCGAGCTCTCTCGTAACCTTTCGAATTGCCGACGGCATGATAGATGCCGCCACGGGAATCTTCCTGATCAGTGTAACAAGTCACAACGCGAGACGGGCCCGGATCCAGCGCGGGCAACCCCAGAGGTCTAGATCCCAGACCCGTGTACCAGATGTAGCCTCCCCACTGGTCGCGGGAGCTGAGTTAGCGTACGGCTGGCATGAGGGAAGCCCGGCATGTCTTACCTCACGGCAACCGCCAGCGCGCGCCTACCCGCTTCCGGACACACTCGGTGCATTTCGCTGATCGCGAAGTCGACTTCTGCGCGCAGAAGTGCTCAGGATTCTATATCGGATTAGCGAACCGCAAACGAGCCGTATCCGACATAGGATCACGTTCCCGGAGGCAATGCAACACGCAATGGTTGAGCCCCCGTGCTGTACGCTAAGTCTCTCAAACCACTAAAACCTTAACAACGGATAGCGTCCACAGGCTTAGGCCGATACGTCACACGCCGAACGGCAGGCGTGACGAGGCCCTTAGGTTCCTCCATTTTGGCTGTCGAGAGGTCTGCTTGCAGTGTTGCGTGATGTTGTGAGCGTCATTTTTCTCTTCCAGTCGTCTGGGGGCATAGTTGCGCATCGCTCTGGGCCATAGACCCCCATGGTTTCCCTCTCGACATATTCGTGCGTGCGAACGTGGTTCTTGACCCAGTTCATCCTGTATGGGCCGGGTAGCGTTCCCGCATCGACGTTACGACATCACGGAGGTCGAGATACAAAAAGCCGACTGAGGTCGGCCAGCTGCGTCTGGTAACATCCTTCATGACGGTTTGTCCCGCTTCGTTCTTGAAGGGCATGGGGAAGGTGCTGGGGAAGGGGTGACCTTCATGATTTCCATGAGCATGATGGGCAGGTCTTCGTATGGCGTACCGGCCTATGTGTTCATTTGCGGACCGGGAACCTAAAGATTGGGTTTTCTTGTATTTCTTTTTCAACTTTGCTGAAAGACCCGCTGAGCCCCCCAGCACGCATTGGGTGGTACGCGAAATCGGATGTGCTTGTGTTTGAAAATCGCCATGTCGTTGAGCGGACTGAAGCCCCCATTTGCCGCAGCGCTTGGCGGAGCTCGCGCTGGGCTAGAGATCCGTGGTCTTCATAACCACCAACGTCGTTATGCATGCTATTGCTGTCGCTGTGCTTTAATCGTCGCGCTGCTGGCAAGTTGAAGATGTTGATTACTGACAGCGGCTGTCTTTGTCATCGATATAATCATCAAGCAAGTCCGTTCTAGTAGCGATGTAAATATCCAGACAGTGCTTCGCAAGGGGCGAGAACACTCGTTTCTTGTTTCGGAGCGACGGGTCCGCTGCTTCCTGCGCTTGGGGGTGGGCTCCACCTGGCTGTCGTCATCGTCGGCAGTATCGTCAAGTCTCTGGTGTTTTCTCTCAGGGGGTTTGTGACTGGTATGCTGCAACGGAGCTGGCTTGTTACCCCCAATGCTGTTGGCGTTTGCCATGACTGTGTCATTGAGCACGGCAGCGAGTGCGTCTTGGTGGTCAGATACGACTTGCTCGTCGGCCACAGAGGAAGTGCATTATGATCGTTAGCGAAGACTTCTTAGTCGGCCATGGCGTCATGCTCATCCTGACGATCGGGCAGAACCGCCTAGCAGAGGCCCTCCTTGGATGCGTCCCATTGTGTACTTCTCAATGTTATCCTCCACTTGGGGCAGAGGGAGAATTTATGGAGAAGCGCGTGGTATGACGATATTCGTGTAAGTGAATCGAGTTCTCTCTGTCAGCGCTCAGGATACTCGTAGCTCAGTCGTATAACGGTCTCGAGACAATTCGATAGAATGTTATTTCTGGCTCGCCCGTGAGAAGGAATACTTGGACATTATTGCTCGGCATCGAGACGGTACGTCACTCCTCGTGCTCTGGCACAATTAGCCCAGCACATTATGCCCAGTGCACAGGTAGAGGACGTGCTCAAAGAGTCTCTCGGACCGCTACTCACGTCAACGAACAGAGGAGGAAGAAGCACCATGGCAACTAGAAGCGCCTGACAGAGATGCAGTTCCTGAAGACAGTACGGATGATTTCGACTGCCAGGCATTGACAGACGACATGTTTTCAGCCCGTGATGAGGTTGGCAGCGACGAAGGTGGAGCTCGAATTGGTTCGATGGCTACCTCTAGCAGGAAGCCAGAGCACAGGATGGTGGAAGCAGACCTTGTTAAGTTTGTTGGGAGGCTCGCTTGGGAGGGCCATGGTGGGCGTCTGCTGAGGCTGGTTGAAGTCATCCTGCTTTGCCGAGGCTCCGCTGCGTACGCCGGAATGGGACCTGCGAAGCTCGGCGCCTTCTTCGTTGCTGACAATCAACGAGGTGGCCGTGTTTATCAATGAAGGCCTTTAAAAAATCCGGAGCGTCGTCAAGGCCGTTACCGCCATGTCCTGCTGGCCTAGATTAAGTGTGATTGCCCTATACAGTCTTTATAAGTATGTGGAACACGCATAATTCTCCTAGTGTGACAATGTATTCTGTAGATAGTTAAACTTGGTACTCGCAGGATAGAAATTGTACGCACAACAGAACTGGTGAGGGGAAACGGCCCCTGGCCACTCTGCTGCTTTTACTAGCCCTTAGGCCTTCGTGGTACCCTCATCCTGCAACAAGTGAACGCGGCGGCGGCGGACCTGTGGGGGTCTTCCCGCAGTTCAAGATTTCGACGGTGACGACGATCGACTAGAGCCGCCACCCAATGCTTACTATAATTTGGCACGAAACTGAAAGGTTTCGGATACTTGTCAGGGTTTTTGAGCTTGCTAGTTACGCCAGCCCGAGGGAAGCCAGTCCGGATGAAGATGCTTGGGTTTGGGGTAAAGTTTCCGAGCTGCTTTGAATCAGAGATTGGAGACTGGCTTCAACGGGCATTCCATTTAGATATATGTAGCGGTCTCGTGCTTGGGGGGGGAGGCGGGACGAAACGAAGCGACCGCGTTCTCGCCGTTGTGGGCCTGTTAATGCACCAGAGTTTAGAGGGTCTTGGGATGACTTCGTAGCGGATTTCAGTGGGAAATCCCTGGGACGGCTCGTTTAAGCATGTTGCGATCCGTTAGCAACGTAGCTTTGGGCGGGGGCCCGTTGGTTGAAGGACAAAATATCCCAGCCGGGGGTAGGTGGACGGGTTTGGGCTTTATAGATAGGGTAAACGAGTGTCGAATCTGCCAGCATCGTATCCAGGCCTGTATTGGCGAGGATGGGTGCTCTACTCATCGTAACCAGGGCGAGGTGGAGGAGATTGGATTCTTCGTAGCCAGGGCCAGTGGGACGAAGTTGGGGTTCATAGCTAGGGTCAGATAGTATATTGCGGTTATGGCCTGGGACCAGCAGTTCTATTTCGTTTCTTCTAGGGGACTGGTCGAAGGCGAATTTCTGATGAATCGCGCGTAGTATGCGGCGCACTGCTCGACTTGCATGGACCATTCGCCGTCGTCCAGGTGTTCTTCTTCCACGACAACACGGTATCGGAAGAATTCCAGGGCCTCCACGAAACAGAACGTGACTGCAGGGGCTCGTGGGTGCCCTATGTGCCTGCACTGTATGCTCTTGTGATTGCCAATGAGTCAAGTTCCGGGGGGTCTATCTCCTCCTTAACGTAGAACTCGAATTCACAGGTATTCTGCGCCGTAGTGTTGGCCGACCTGTTCCTTCGTTCGCCCTGTCGCATTACTGTACTCGATCGGGGCGTTAGTGCAGATAACCTTACTCGGCCTGCCCGAGAAATAGAGGGCACCGTGCAATGCGTCGACACCTTAGCGACTCTCAACACTTCGTGGCCTCTAAGGTGTTTACAAGGCTGGACAGTGGACACGGCTACAGCGTACAATAGGATTCGCGTTTCCAAAGGAGAAGAGTGTAACGTAGCGTTTACGACGAGACTCGGATGTAATAAGACCTTGGTGACGACTTTTGGACTTTGTAAGGCTCAATCGACCTTGCAGCACTATAGAGACACACTGTAGAGGAAAGCACAGCGGAATCGGCGTGGTAGGGTTCAGTCGTCTACTGATATCCTGTGGTGGGACTTGCGGATTTTCCCAGCGGCCGGGCGTTGCCGGCGCTTGGTGGCGTATAGGTGGCGTGCGGTCTGGGACAGGATGAGGCAAGAATATCTTGAGGAACCTAGGCGTATTGGGCTTGACGGGTTTGTCCTAGTCATGAACGGCCAGGCAAGCGGCTGCAAGTCAGGGTAGTGGACAGCACGTTTGCTACTGTACGATCTGACCTACAGGGCTGCCTCCTCGCCTGTTATTACGGTGCGCCCTTTGCCTCTGCCTTTTCTATGAGCTGACGGTGATGAGAGTGGGTAGTTGTCTCCGAGGCGGGGCGGCTTCGTTCGAACGCTGTCTCATCTGCTGCATCTGCTGGTAAGCATTCCAGGCATCGAAGTATCTATCCCACACTGGTCGCATGCTCGAATTGGGCGGGGCCGCAGCCCCGAAATCTTCGTGGTTCTTAGGTCGCTATCGTGCACTGCCGCGAGGGGGGGTCTTCTATCAGGAGTCGAATTCTAGGAAGACTCTGACAGTAGGTCCGGCGTAGGCTATATTATTTTTAGCTCGAAGTCAGCGTGGAAGGATGTTGGCTTTATGCCGGGCGGCTTTAGTTCGTGGCATTCGGGCCCTGCCCTGAGAGGGTGAGTGCCCGCCTGATCGAGAGGCCCGAGACCTGGCTCGGCTATGGCTACCGGAACCGGTACGGCCGTTGTTTCCTTGGCTAGACGACTCCCCGTTCTGGTTGCATACCAGAGCTCTGCCCGCAGACTGAAATCTGGACGTATGGTCGCGATATTGTCATAGACTATAAATTACGTGCATAGCGTATTGAATTGTCGAGCTTTGTCTCAAAGAGCCAGTGCCAGGTTGGTCCGGATCGCTTGAAGCTGGGGGCTATGTGGTTGCCTGTATCATTGAGCCCGACTTCGTAATAGGTAAAGAAGTAAATGCTTTCTTTATCTTTTTTTTGGTTGAGAAACTCGTGCTTAACGTTCAGGACTCCCTATTTGTATTGTCTCGACTTATGTGTTTGATTTGAGTTTTAGGTATTTATGTATGATGATCGAGGCGAGGTCGAGTCTAGCGTCTAGCTATAGACAAGCCGGGATATGCGAGTATCCCTCCATTCAACTATAAAGTCTCGTATAAGTCTCTGTTCCCGTAAAACCTGATGCTGTTTTGTGAGCAGATTTATACTGCCGGTATGACACGGGGTACTTCGTTTCGATCGTAAAGTACCAATAGCGTAGAACACCGGTTGGGGAGGAGACAGCCGAGATTCCGAAAGATGAGGACGGCCTGGCGGAACAACAACCGCGGTTATTATTCACCTGAAAAGGCTCCTAGAATAGATTGCGTATATTCTGACACCAAGCACGATTATACCGGTGCGACGAGCCACCATGAGGGTACAAAAGTCGATAAGCTGTTGCATTGACGTGATCATGAGATTGTGTGAGATGAGAGACGGCCTCGATATTGTTTACACCTTATCGGCAGAGGCACCCATATTTACGGGTCCTTGGTGAGTCCGACTAACGCCTACTAGATCACTAGCAGAAGAGGCCACAGGGGGAACATACTTTCGACGCTTGAGGTGCTGCAGATACTGATTGCAGAAGCCGAGCGGTACTGTGCGGTTCGGCTTTTTCGGGCTTCGCTGAAGACACCAGGGATGACCTTGTCTGACAGCAGGTGTTCATCGAAGCTTCCGGGAAGCTTGCCTCCAGGGCTTCGCGAGGAACCGGCAGGGTGTTGTCGGATGATCGGAGTTCGAATGCTACCGCTTGGAATGCGCGACATTGATGACTGCGAGAACCTCCGATACGACGAACCACAAGCGCCTCCTTCTTGTCCAGGTCACTCTCGAGGGGGGCTGTCGATCATCCGAAGGGTAGGTGTGCGAAGCGCAGCTCGTCATGGCGCAACTCGCAATGGTAATGACAATTTGATACATGCCGCGACGGCGGACTGGATGCTGGTCCGAATTTTGGATAGGCGTGCGGATTGCACCATAGTTGTAAATGAGGTAAATTCGTTAATATAAGAAGGAATAAAACCAATAACCGTTAATAGTCGACTCGTGCTCTTCGCTCGGCAACTGTGCGTAATTGGTGCTAGTTTATGCCTTGTTAATTGCTTCTGCAGAAATGATATGCTTACCCGTTATGTTTCCTTAGTTGCTTAGACCTGGCATAGCATCATCTAATAATAATGGGCTCTCCCCAGGAAGGGCGACCCCAGTGCCAGGTCTTGTCAAATGGCACGCAAGCCACAGTGGAGTCAGGGAGGTGGCAGTGCACCGACAGGGGCTCTAGGGCAATTTCGGGCCCTGTAGCTTACACCAGCAGATCCTTCAGATACACACACTCTCATCAGAATCACCAGAATACACGTTATCAACAAGATCAACCATAATACGCACTGTTTGACAGGTCTCTGTTGTTCAGACGATAAGTAGTTACTAACCGGGGGAAGCCCTTCGATCCGGCTAGCAGGTAGTAGTAGACAATGATAGTCATGGCCATGCATGCTGAACGATATGGTCTCGTTCTCTGATGATGATGATGATGATGATGATGATAGGCTGCCCCCGTGGGGGGCGACCCCAGTGCCGGGTACTTGTTGTGCAGACGATGAGTCGGTACTGACCGAAGGAGGCTCTTCGATCCGGCAGGCAGATGGTTATTAGTGACTGAGAAGATGCAGTTTCCGCAGCATCCCTTGAACCACCTATCGTTTGGGATCGATCGGCATCCAAAGAAAGGCCACATGCCAGTCTTCCCGTCCGACTCCGACTCCTTAAGCCGTCTCTCGCACAGTCAACAAGGCACCTCATTCTCGACCCCGAAGAGCTGTACGAAGATCCCGTTGACCACACGAATGTCCCGTGTGGCGCGGTTGAGGAATCCCATGCTGGGAGTCGCACCAATCGCTGACGGGCACAACTTGTTATATTGGTGTCCATATTGGCCCGGTATTGGTGGGATTGTCCGGTAGGCTTGGGACGATTGTGTTAGCCCACACGATGATAGATTTTTTTGGTGTAGTAGGGCAGCATGAGACCGTGTCTGGTGTTATAGATGAGATATAACAGAAGCGACGCGAGCAGCTCCTCGACGTAACGCGCGCTAATATCGCAGCAGTACGGTAGCCAGCCGTTCTTGTCCGAGATCGAGTCGACCAACTCGCACCCGCACAGGGCACGATAGATGAGGTCGAATGACTTGCCCAGCGAAAACCGATCGATCGTCATCATATCCGAGCAAGGAAACACGAGCAAGAACTTGGGAAACGATCCGCAACCCCCTTCGTCTCAGCTGCCACATAGTGGTGACCTTACCCCGGAAGAACGCGAAGCGGAGCGACAGAGAAGAGAACAAGGGAGTCTTGCTCAATCATTCCGACGAGCGAAAAAAACGCATCTCAAAAGCTCGCGTTTGTACAGTTGAGCCATGTTAGTCTTGCGCACCATGAACTCTATATGGTGTGACTACGTGGTTAGGGCGTAGTTGGAAATGTGATAGTGACGAAGTGGAAGTGATGGAAGTGTGGGGAATGTGGACGACATGTGAAGTTGTGAGAGTTGACTGCTGTGCGTGGCTCCCTGAAAAGTGAAAGATGCCGAACCTCATCTCCGGGGACATGTGTAACTCGACAAGGAATTGAAGCCTTGGAGACGGGCGAGACCTGTAGGTTGTTCCAGTTGTCTTCCGATGTGGAGGTGGGTGAGGTTCCGAAACATTCCGATCGGCGATATATCTAACTTCTCATAATAAGTGATTACTGAGACTTTTTGTACCGCATCGTGATCGAAATATAGATGTATAGATTTAGCAATCTCGTCGTCCTTGATGAACAGCGTAGGAATATTGATAGGAGCTTCCTGGTCTATAATCTCCGACTTGAGCTGCTGTATTTGCAGTTGACCGAGGTCACGGAGATCTAAATCCATGCTTCTGGCGGCACCCGACAAGCTTGTTGAAATTTGAAAAGGGCTATGCTCGGAAGGTCGCCTTGAAAACCGGCATGGCCTCTGTTAGATAGTCTCGCATGTCATTGGGAGTCGCGGTGTGAGTATTCAAAGTGGCGATTTGATGGTGAGGCAACTTCGGAATTGTGGTGGTGAGAGAGGAGCACCGTGGACTGTCTGGATGCTTCGGGCACCTATAGCGGCTGGCGGGAGGTCATGGAGCAGCATACGAGGCTAGCCTGGCACGAAGAGAGTATTTACAGGACTGAGTCAAGTACGCGCCTTGTTGATGATGTCTAGGTAAAGCAGCCGTCACCGAAGCTGACATCTGTTGATTTTTAAGCCTTTCGTTACGAAGTCAGTCTTTATTATCGTAATATAGATGGTAACGCCCGGTTCAGTCCTCACTCTAAATCCAGATGGGCAGCTGAGGTACCATCTCGCGGATTTTGTGGACAAGGTCCCGAACAACTCAACGGATATCAACGGTTGAGTTGAGTTGACATCAATATCCACACTAACTTAACTCAACGGGTCCCTTGTAACCTTCGTAATCAACTTAACAATGAGGCCTTCGTAGGTTGATATTAATCAACCCGTTAATATATAGGTTGATATAAATTTATTTTTTTAAACCATATAATTTCCCGAGGACTATGTAGAAATAGTTCGGAGCATACCGAAATTATAAGGGTCCGGCCGGAAATACGGTAATTTCTGGGCTATCATAACACCTGGTCATAGCATCAACGACGTATACATCTCCGGAGACAAGACCTCTCGTTGATCAACTCAACTCAACGAAGCGACGACGAGGTCGTGGATAGTGTCAACTCAACTCAACGAAGGGGTCCCGTTGACGTGGATTGAGTTGTTCGGAACCTTGTTTGTGGTAGAACTCGAGGCTTCTTCCTTCTGCTTGAAATGGTATGGTGCCGAGAAAACTCATCATAATGCCCTCAACCATCAAGGCGTGTACAACGACCGGAAGGGGCGACTAAAGAGGTGGGGAAGTATGCAAAAGGCCGGGGAAGGAGAAACAGCTCTCTTTTCCTTGCCTCCAAGCGGCATAGGAATCCATTGACAATTCGGTAGTTGACCACAGCTCTGGTTACAGCCCGTCGTTCCGTTCGAGATAGGGGTTTGACGTAGTCTGGTCCCTGTGTCAGAAATCCTACTATATCGTTGTACCACGCACAGCCTGCATATTCCAACGCTTAGGGGCCTTCACGCAAGTAGCCTGGCCCTTCTTGGTAGGCTTTTTGAAACTATTAGCATGTTTGACCTTGTCCTTATATGAGGTTTATCATTGCCAGCGGGGACCTTAAAGGAGATTCGGTCCGTAGGTATGCAATCTATCGATGGGCCGGCTTCTTATGATTTCGAGAGCCGGGAATATGAATATGATCAGTTTTCCCACCTGAGTGTCGTTATGTAGTGCGGGTGCAGCGCTGTATCTCGACGAGGGATGTTGTGGTTGCTGAAAGGAAAAGGGGAAAATCCGAAAGAATTGTGGATGCACGGTTGTGCAGGCGAAGATGACTAGCGCGCCTTCCTGAATTCGTCTCAAGCAGAACGGCAGGTCCTGATTGCTGCGAGGTTCACGGAGCTGGTGACTCGGAAAGGTACCTGGAAGGCTGCTGTAATGTTCGGTTATTGTAAGGTACCTTTCAGTGTGTGCGAACCCTTCGTGCCGCGAAGTGGACTATTCTCCGGGATTAAAATAATGGTATTCAAAGGATCGTGGACCACGGATATCTGATGCGGAATTGGGGGTGGGGGCAGCCAACTGACTCGCCATGGTTGCCGAACTTCTGGGTTTGCTGTTCCGGGCGGTTGTCTGTGTGCGGGCAGATGTGACGTCTGACCGATCCCTGAATGAGAGAGATGTATTTGGGATGGAGGAATTACGAGAGCGCGTGCTGCCTGCAACTTCTTACGATCCTCTGCTACAGTCCAACCTCCGATGTCTGCCCCGTGGATTTTGCTGAGACCTTCTTGGAGAGATCTACACTCACCAGCTCTGATTCTGATGAACTCCTGGTAGTTGCCATGAACAATTCATTTCCCCAGCCGGCGAGAACCCCTAGTTACAATCGTAATAACGAACCTATCCTTGAGATTTTGTTAATGATCTTAGTTGCTGATGATGAATGGAGTTGGTGCAGAAAGAGAGGGTTTGCATTGTACGACTGTGAGGGTATCTTCATAAAATGACTTTCAGAGGTTTGTTACGAACCAACGAGGCGTACAGGGAATGAGGCCCGCTGGCAGGCCCAACAAGATGGACAGTAACTGGAAGAACCCGGAAGAACGCACGGGCCAAAGAAACGTCTAGGTCACGTGATCAAGACATCACGTGATGGATAGCTTGGATAGCGAGGTTATCCAACATATCCAGGATAGCTTGGATAGCAAGGTTATCCAACATATCCACCCCATCAGTGAGGGAGAGATTGGATATATAAGGATGGACATTTCCTAGCTAGACAGATAGACAGTCTCTACCTCAGTGATCAATCTAAGCATCTTAGCCAACCCTAAGGTGGGAGAAATCTCCTGACGACTCGACTATTCAGTGAACCCAGTTCAGACCAAGCCCCAGCATCTGAGTGTCTTCTAGTTGACAGAAGCCTCTATCGTCTTTTGTGTTGACTTACCTCAGAACATAAACCCTATAGAACCCTTTAGCCTTATAGGTTAGACGGCTCGTCACAAGGTTTTCTTTCGTCCTTAATTTTCTTCTAGTTCCAGTTTTATAGAAGAATGTTAATCATGTGTATCGCTGTCTTATAGTTGAATATATATCTCGTTTTGATGGATTATCAAGTATCCCTTAGGTTTGTTAAAGACTTGTTTTGCTCCACCAGCTTAATGTAGGAGTTGACATTATTATTTTTATCAGTGGCGTGCAGAGCGGTTAGACATCTCGCTGGAGGTGATGAGGTAGAGCTGTGGTTTTCGAGTCGACCACCTGTTGATTTAAGGAGGCTGCGCGGCCGGAGCAGTGCCTGTGCTGCAACATGGGTAGGTGCGCATGCCATAATTTTGTCGAGCTTAACTATCAGAAGCGTCATGTTGATGATCGTGCCATATGTTCAGCTCCGAATGCCGCGGTACCTCCTCACCATTCTTCTTGGCGAGCATACTAAATTATTTGGTAGTTTTGCCATCCCGCACCCGTAATGTGTCGTAGTCCCCAACTCCACCTGGACTTTCCAGGCGGGAGTGCGCCGGGCAGAGGTATTGTCGCCTTGAGACAGCGTTCAGTACTGAGCTTCTTTATCGCTATTGTAGATGTATTTATAGGTTAGGTGTCCTAGACTTGGTGTGTATCGTGTCGACACTCTTGTGTACCCCTTTGTTGTGACAGGTAGGTGATCTGCCTGCCGTGTTGCGTGTATTAGAATCATCTTGATTAACATGGCAAATGTATCCAATCGAGACCTTGTCTTCTTTTCGTGGCCAGACGCCTTCAGAAGAGGGTGTTGTGGGGTTTAGAGGAGCTGTGGACCTCGTGCTGTACCTTGGAATTATCTAGTCGACACCAGACGGTCAACGTCGACGTGGGCTGTGGAAAGCTGATCTATAGTTAGAGGCCTGCGTCATCGCGTAGGTCCTACCTCGTTTACGGGAGCTGGGAGGGTGACAGGGTACTCACCGACGAGGTAAAGGATGAGGAACAAGGGTCCCCAGTTGAAACCTTAGTGAGATAGCCGCCTACGCTGGCGTACCACTCACGCTGTTCCTGGGGCGCCTCCATCGCGGCAGGAGGCGAAAGAGAGGGGGAGGAAGAGGAATGGTGGAGGGTCGGGAGTGAGGATAGGGGATGATGACACGGAATGAAGAGAAAGGAGTGCGAGGAGAGAGATGGGGACCGGGACAATGACCCACCGTAGGTAGCGTCTGTCCAGGCGCAGACTGATAGAACTTGCAAGATTGAATCAATATCCACAGTAGATTCATCTTGGCATGTTGTGGTGGAGCGGCAAGAGACGATGGTTTAGTAAGTCCTGGTGTGGATGCCTAGGACCAGGTGCGTGCATCGGGTGCCTTTGTGGGTGACTTAGGGAGTACTGGCGTGCTAACATTATAGCCCCTTGGGGTCTTCGTTAAGTGTCTTCGCTAAGTTGAAAGATACAAGTAGAAACTCGAAACTTGCATCCCTCTGTCCTGCTTATGGGTATGAGAAGATTGAGGTTCTGCAGGTGTTTGGGTTTGTTGCTAGTCACTGTGGTTGCGAACATTGGTGGAAAAATCGTCTGCTACATGTTGCAGGACAT